TCAGAGAACAGGGGATAACCATTGCTAGTATTTTAACCACATTGGGATTTATTATATCGACTTTGACTCTCGCGTTAACCGGTGGTACAGGCGGTACAGGAGGTGGCACACCGCCTAGTGATAAAAATGGTGTAAAAGAGTGGATAAAAAAGCATTTAAAAGCATTAGGGAAAGCTCGCTGGGAAAGCCGCGTCTGCACTTCCCGGTATAATAGGGAGTATTGTTTCCTGGCTCTTGAATTTATTAGCAAAGACCACCACTTGGCTTAGTCAAAACTTGTGGGCACTGATCGTAGCAATTGCTGGGCTGTTAAAGACTATTTATACAAATCAGTTCATTAAGAACTACTTAACCAAATCATGAGTAAACCAGCCGCAACTCCACCTACTATAAGCGCTGTTTTTTCATCGATATGTTGTTGATTTTTAGCAGCAATATGTGGTGGCACTTGTGACTGTGCGTCAGTAGATGGCTGTTGTGGTGTCTGTGGCTTGACTATTCCCGATTCAACTGTGTTTGTTTGAGTTATTAATTCGGTATTAATATCTGAATTTATACCTGGTTTTTGTTGATCGGAAGCAATAACAATTTTATTATTATAACCGATCACTTGACCGATCTTAAGTTCCATATAACTCGGAGACATGTATAGTCCCGGCGCATAAACGTAGTCTACTTTGGATTGAGCGTACTGTAAAACATCTTGATAACACTTTATAGATGATGGTATGTCAACCTCTACATTTGCAACAAACTGTTTTTACGCATCGAGCGCCGTCCCAGAACCAATTATTCCCGTTCGTGTTTGAGATTGTGCACCAAGAATTGCCAATACATAAGTTCTTATTGATTCATTAACTCTTACAACTCCTGGGCTAGTAAAATTAGTTTTATCATTAAGAAATTCATTCCAAGCATTTCCAGGTGGTTGCTCAACCTTTTGGATGGTGAAAGCAACACCACCCTTAAAGTTCATACAATCATCTCTCCACTCGTTACTCGAGAGAGCAAAGTTTGGAAGAAGCCGGCCTCTTTTCAGTAAATAATCACTGACTTCTTTTACAGAGTGTGCACCAGCATATGGAATACCTGGACCATGGTTAACTCCATGCAGACGCCAATCTTTACTCGTGAAATATTAAATTCCTGACAAATACGTTCGAATGCCCACCTATTGTACAGATTATTTGTGGAATTCCATGCTCGATCCTGCGGTAATGTGGCACTAATTTCTTTAAGAATACGTCTAATCTGATAGTACACGTGAAATGATAAAACAGACTTATTTAGTTCAAATCCTGGGGTATTAAGAGATACACCATATCCTGGTGTGGCACACCATATGGCAAAGTTTAACTGGTTCTGCCAAAATTGCATTGGATTGTGGAACCAATCATGCACCATTTTATCGCTAGTTGCTGTGACCCTGTAAGATATCAGGGAATTTAACCAAAAAAATAGCACCGGAGGCACTTACTAAAATTGACTGATTCGTAATGTAAGTTGTTTTCATATTTAAGTTATGATATAGAATCATTGTATATCTAACATGTATGTTACACTCCAAGGAATAACAAATAGCCACTCTATTCAACTGCTTCATACTATCGATAACTCGGCTGGTCAACTTGAAGTCGCTATCTGCGATGTAACGTATTACCCGCGGTGGACCAATATAAATGCTGCGAGAAGAAATAATCAGATAATAACAAATAGAAAAGAACACAATATACCTGATGGGTATTACAGCATATGCTCACTCAATGATGACATTTTTAAGCCTTTGGAAGTTAGTCTCACACAAAATTACCCGATTTAGTTTATTATAAAGAGTTGTGCATCCATCTTGATCAGATAAGTAAGACGGATAATATTCAACTCAAAAGTCCTTCTTCTCTGCTGAGAGCTATTCCAGTCAAAGATGAAAAATACAAAAGCGGTAGAACTGAATCTTTTTCATCATTACAATATAAAAAATTAAAGCGGGGAACGAGAAAAAAAAGTTCATAGAACAGGGGAGACAACAAGCGCATCAATTATTCTGTGCCAAAACCAAAGAACTGGTTGGAGATTAAAAATAGATTGCTTGATCACGTTGGATCACACCACAATAATTTAGACGAATGCTTACATAAGTATATAATAATGTCAACAACATTTATGCTCCAGGACAAAATTATCAAATGGCGAGAATTACCACAGGGTATATATTATATCAGTGATGTCAAACCAACCAAATACGGTCATCAATTGTTTCTTTCCAATTTCGACTTGTATATGGACTTGTTACATTGAGGGAATGCTACTCTGTTGTCCAATTAGATTGATAGGGCTTGCGTTTTGTCTCGAGATTCATGGACTGTGGGCATGTTATAAACATCTGAGTTCCTTCTGACAACATTTCTTTTGTCACAAGAGTTGGCAGATGTGCCTTGCCTGGGTGAGATTTTTGCTGATCTATCACCCCTCAGGGAAGAAGAGCCATCATAGTCGGTGTCACAGGATCTTGACCTATTTTCTTGTCTTTATAAGCTTACATATGTCATAAGCCATGCAAGCAAAACTCTGATCAAAAAGTGCTGTCATTGACGTAGTCATGGTCAACTCCATTGAATGAGAAAATACATTTAGGTTACATGGTACTGGAGGAATCGGATGACTCTCATTGGCTTTTTACTCATTCGCTTGTCAGTGGGTACTTTGGATGAGATACGCAACTTTTCTTCAGAATAAGAGACACCCATTGCATCACCAAATTGTTACCCTAGTGCCTATCTGCGGAACTTTGTCCAATGAGCGACAATTTTGTTTTTACTTTAGGTGATGTTATAGCAGACAACTTTTATGCAGATGATCAAGATTTCTGTGATGACTTTGACTTTGAGTAGACCCAGGCATTCTTCTCATACTTCAACATCCGATCTTCAATACTCCCGACAGGTACTGTTAGTGTCTGATGTCTGTAACGTATCCAAACATTTGCAAGAACGTGATCTCAAACATTTGGATGTTCACCTCTGCAGAACACAGGAAACTAGTGACGTATCCAGCCTTGAGCATGCACAATAACATGAGCCTGAGCCAAGATTTACCTCAAAATTAATCATATACTGAACCACAAAAATAACATCACCCCGAGTAACATTGCATGAAAAGTTGTCATTTAAATATCTGGCTAATTTTTGTCAATGTTTCTAAAATTTAGCAATTGCAATGTCCGAAAAAATGAAATTTGATGATAAAAAAACAAAGCAGATAACAATAAAACTGATCGCCAAAAACGCATCACGGCAAGAGCCATGGTAACCTAATGCATGTGAGTTCCGTGCAAATTGAAATGCACATGCGTTCCCCCATTTCTTGCGCTATAAAAATGTTATGTTATTGAATTGCTACCACATGCCAAGATTGACAAGAAATCAGCGACACCAAGCCTTTGGACAATTGCAAGCTGGACAAACCGCCCAGCAAGTAGCCAATGCATTTCAAGTCCACGTAAGGACCATATACAGGCTCCAGCAACGGTACCAGTCCACCAACACTACAGATGACCGACCACGTAGTGGAAGACCAAGGGTCACCACCCGACGTCAGGATCGTCAGATTGTGTGACAGCATCTCCAAGATGTTACAAGATGTTTGTAACTGCTGCGGAAACTGCTCGACAGACCATGAGGACACACCAGCGACACATAAGTGCGGACCCTGTGTGTTGACGATTGACGAGCAGCCACGTCCACTGTCACAGGCCACACCGAGGACCCATTTTGACACCACGTCATCACCAGGACCGTCTGCGGTGGGCAAGACAGCACCAGCATTGGCGCCACAAGCTCAGACAAGAGCCGTTACTGTATCTCAACAGCAGATGGCAGAGAGATTCCGTGAGGAACATTATTCGGATGCTTGTGTTGTTGAGAGAGACTTGTGGGATGGTGCGAGCATCATGGTGTGGGGTGGAATTGGTCTTGCACAGAGGGTCGGCCCTGTGGTCTTCCAGAACATCGGTCCAGGGAGAGGCAATGATGTCACAGCAGCTCGGTACATTGATCAAGTCTTGAGACCACACACCGTACTTCATTTGGCACGTCGCCGCAACAAGTTTCAGCATGACAACGCCTGTGCCCACACAGCGAGAACAAAATGAGACTTCCTCCAGCAGAATGGCATCAGAACAATGCAGTTGCCTGCCATCAGCCCCAATTTATCCCATTGAGCACCTGTGGGATGGAATTCAAAGACGGCTGAATGGCGTCTGACCAAGGCCGACAACTGCAGCTCAACTGCATCAGGCGTTCCTCAGAGTGTGGGCTCAAGTGCCTGTGGCCTTCAGCAACCACCTCAACAATTCCATGTATTGATGTTGCACGGCAGTCATCAATGCACATGGCGGACACACGAGATACTGACTTGTGATGTCATTTTCTCAGAGACTAGTGTTGTGTTTCACTTTAAGAATAATTGACACTTTAATTTCAACCTTGATGATCAGTTTTGCCAAGTTTCACCTTTTAAATATGTCCACAGTGTTTGGACAAATTGACGTTTCTTTTGCAGTTTAATAAAGATAAGTTAGCAAGCATTAAAGAAGTTGTCTGATGAGAATCTTAAACATTTTATGGTGTAATGTGACAGCGAATATGGGGAATTTATGGCTATGATGTAATAGAGGTAGGGTATTAAAAGGAATTAAAACCATTTTTTAGCAAACCCGACTGAAAATAAAGTGAGCTTATGTCTTGGCCTGTTTGTCTGTCATGTAGCGTTAATATGTTATATCAGAAACCATTGGATCAGTGAAGATAAAACTTCACATACTTAGGCTCCTAGTGGACATATCAGATTTTTTCTAATGTGATGTCCTTAAGCCTACCCGTAAATTATAAGGGGTACACTGAATTATCAACTGAAGTGCTTCCGGAAATAAGAAACTATGAAAAAAGAACCAAAAAAATAAGGACATATAGACTTACATGATCTCTCAGGTTAGTTAAAATTACCTTTAATTCTTCCAACTTTTTTATCTCTTGCAACTTCTTCTCATCTTGTAGTTTCTGGGCCAGTTGTTGTGATTCTTTTAAACTTTGATATAGTTCTGCTTCTTGTTGTTTGCGTCTGCATGATAAATAAACATTGTCAACATAGAACAATGAATCAGGCATATATCTAAAGCATTACATCAGGGGTGGCAATGAACCTCTGAAATGAACTACAAAGGATATAGTAGAGTAACTGTGTACAGTTGGCATGTAGAAAGTACAATACTATCCATGCTTACAGGTTGCATCTGAACCAAACACACAACCAGGCAGCATATTTCTGCAGGCATCAAAATGACTCAAAAGTAGCTGCTATGAACTCTTGTGCTGTCATGAATTATCTCCAAGTGAAAAGGCCCACTCCAACAGACATCCATGTGGCCATTGTGTCAACTTGAGGGGAGGATGTTGCCTCTCTTGTCACTGTGCAGTGGAGTTAAGGAGGGTAAGTGGGATGATCCAGGATCAGGAAGACCTTGAACTGCCACCACTAAAGAAAATGTTGATAAAATACATGTCATGACATGATCATGGATGAATGATGACTTATCACACATCGCATAGCCAACACAGAAGGCATCTCTCATGTGAGTGTTGACAACATTCTGAGGTGAAGTCAAGTGGAGTTTATGATGCATTTAAGATTATTGAGGCGCATGCACTAAATGTTCCATAAAATCCTCTGGGAGATCCACAAAGCAGCAATTTGGAGAACATGTTAGGCCCATTCTTCCAATAACTCATCTGACCTGGGGCGACGAAGGTTTGGAAACTGCAGTTGCAAACAGTATCAGCAGGAGACCATTTCCCAAACAGCCTATTGAGTTTCTTCACCATTCCTTGGAAGGAGATTAAATCATCCCTGTCTAGTATTAAGGTGAAGAAGTCGGCTGTTGTCCTGGGAAGACAGTTACCCAACCTTTCTAGTTTCTCCTCCTTGTTCCATTGATATGGCTTAAAAAAATAAAAGAATTGGTTCTCAGGCAAGGACTTTTGAAAATATAGTGCAGGTGGGCGATGTTTTTAATTTGGGGGTTGTTCAAACTAGATGTAACCAAATAAACAGTTGTATAACCAAACAAACAGTATTGTACAATCACACTGGGAAAGGGCCTCCCTACATAAATGAATTCCTTGATGAGTAAAATACTGGAATACAGTATTTGACAACCATTGGACTTGGAATATTTAAGGATTTCTTCTTTTTTTTAAATGGAAATAAAAACGAAATGTGCAGCGAACTTTATGATGATGTGGGCAGTGCCTGAGAACCAAGACTATTATTTTTTGTAGCCTTAGCAAGTGAAACTTTGAACTACAGATAAAATTAAGACCATCTTGCCCTCCATCATATGACAATATTCATGGTAGTGGGGGCTGGTGGTTTATCAACCACTACTTGACATCTCCTCTAAATCAGTTGTGGAAGTTCCTCGTTTAAGTCACAATCCTAAGAGCTGCCTAACTGGCAGGACTGTTGTCAGCATCAAACAAACTACCCTTAGGGACGGATCATTTGATATTCAGTTGTGATTTTATTGTAAAAAATAAATTGTCCAAGAAAATGTGTGAAATTAAAAGAAAGATAAATATTATCATCTGACTTTGGAAAAAATAAGAAAGAAATTGTCTGCCACTAAAAAGAACTTCTAGGACGATGTATTAAACAAAATGTATTCAAGCTCAAAGTTTTCATTAAAAAAAATATCTGGTTGAGCAGCTGAAAATCCCAGCCTCCTTCCCCATATTATCAAATGGTTGGTTCTTACAGCGAGAGATCCAAGGCTTGCTTGTTAACGTGGGAGATGGCCATAAGTCACACTGACGTAACAGATACCTCGTTGTCTCAACAGAAGGGACCTTGTTCAACATTCAGAACTTTGTGGGTTCACAGCTGAGGAGCACATCATTCATACTGTGTTAACCTGTAAGACTGTTACATGCCATCTGGTCAAATACTCAAGATGGCCGGTGCTGCTGAAGACCAGTGTTCGAGATTCGTCTGATGAAGAACATGCAAAATGGATCTCTGCATTAAGCCTACCCGAGTAACATGTGGAACCCTCAGAGCTTTATGTAACTCCTCCAACACTTGCTGGCACTCTCATCAAGTGATATTGTATTTATCAGTGGCAACCCTCCGTGTTGTGAGTCAGATATCCAGCCCTCTTTTCAAATGAATGAAATACTGGCAAGTTACTACTTGAAGCTGCACTTGATGGCCTAAAAGTCCATAAAGGTCTACCTTCAAAGTTGAAGGACTATTATTGGAACTTTTCGACGGTGTCTTATTTGAAACATTGACAGTGTGTTTACCTCTTTATGATGTTGTTTGAGGGTGGTGCTCAAGGATACACATTTATATTTGGGTTTTTAAAGAGGAAGGAAACAATGGCAGTTCAACCATTATCCCTTTGGATTAGTTTCGGGTAAACTTAATGTTTATGGGTTTTTTGTTTTAATAACTGCATTGTTTTGGTTCTTGCACCTTTCCTGACTGGCACTGCTCAAAACTAAAAGGGGCAAATATTTGTCTGAACCCTTTCCTCCATTATTTTATCTCACCGTATCAGTAACTCTGTTTCTTCTTTCTGTTTCTCCAACTTCTTCTTTTCATCTTCAAGCTGCCTCTTCCAGTTCTCTTCTTCTTTCTTTCTGTAAAATAAATGTGTCATTCTCCTTAACAACAAGTATGAAGTACTTACATCTTCCACCAAAACAGTTTCACGAAATACAATGACATAGGCTAAATCAATTTCGGTTCTTCAACAATAATAAATATACCTGTTAGTGAACTTTAACCAAAAATGATAAGAACAGTGCAAACTCATAAGTACCTCTGTTCTGATCACACCAATTTTCTTTTTGATGCATATAAAAAAATCAGAACAATATTTAATATTGTGTTCTCTCTCTACAAGCAGGGTATATTAGAAGTTGTATCAGTATTACTAAATATTTAAATATGCTATTATCAGATTATTGGGAGAAACACATGTCATATTTCAGCTTGATCAGTCTTGCAGTTTCACAGAAAAATATGTATACAGAGCCAAATGTACATTTTAAATAGTGTGCAGGCATGGACAAAGTGGCAAGGTGAAGGTGGTGAAAATATACTCAACAACAAAAGTTCCTGTGACGCCAATATTTTAGTGTATTTTTCAAACAAGTAAAGTTCGGTTTTCAATATTGTAGTACATGTTTGGAATCAAGTCACAAAAACACAACTGCAACAGAAAAGCATGCATTCCATGCAAAAGTTGACTTTTATACAAGCCTAATGCATTTCACTACCCAAGAATGGGTATAAAAACAAGTGCATTAACGGGATTCCATATGCATTGTTTAGCATCGTGCTGACAACCACTCAGAAAAACAACAAAATTACGCAATTATTCAACATTACGAAATGCCATGCCTTTCCGAAAATGAGCGTCTGCAAGCCATTGGTATGCTTGAAGTAGGATCGACTCAACGTTATGTTGCAAGACAATTTAACGTCCACAGAAACACCATTTGGTGTTTATGGCAACGTTGGCAACAGACGAATGCAGTCAGAGACCATCCTCGGAGTGGCAGGCCACTCGTAACCAATAATCGACAAGACAACTGGATTCGAACAACACACCTACGAAATCGATTCCAGACAGCAACAGTGACTGCAAGAAGCATCCCTATGAAGAAGCGAATATCTTCACAAACCGTACGTTGTCGCCTCAGATGTGCAGCGATTGTCACCAGAAGACCCGCCAGACATCCCATTTTGACAGGAAACCACCGTCAAGCATGTCTACAGTGGTGCAGACAGCATCTACACTGGACGGCCCATCTTCCCGAGGCAAGTGAGTTAACTGACTATAAAAGTCCAGTTTCCACCCTTGCCGAACTAGGCTGGTATTATGGAGTTACATTTTGGCATATGTCTAATCAAAATTGGCACTGAAATCAAAATCCGGTTCATAAAGTGTCATGCAGATTTCGGTCTACCGCAGGATTTGCAAAGCATGTGCACAGCTAACTCGTTGTCAACAGATATTTTCTAAATCTTTTCATGCTTTTAATAAAGGTGCTCACGTGATTTGATGCACTTCGCGATGTAAGATTCATTTTATCAAAATATAGATCTTGATTATCAATCAGATCGTCTTGACTGGGCGCCACCGTTTTTTTTAAAACAAATGCAAGTGATACGAGAGGTTGAATCTGATTGGTCAATAGGAGAGGCATAGAAAGGACATAACTCGTAATAGCCACTGGTGGCGCTACGATCAAGCGCAGGAATTCAAGCCTAGTTCGGCAAGGGTGGCAACTGGACTTTTAAAGTCAGTTAACTCTCTTGCCTCGGGAAGATGTGGACGGCCAGCAGTGGGGACAAGTTCTATTCACCGACAAGTCTCGTTTTCAACTCAGCCACAGCGATGGACGGATTCGAGTGTACCGACGTCGAGATGAACGTTAAGTCAATCATTGTGTCATGGAAGAAGATCGGTTCGGGGGCGGTAGTGTTAGGGTATGGGATGGGATTACAGCAAGACAGAGGATAGTGGTAGAGGGAAATCTCAATGGACAGCGCTATCGGCCCTGTTGTTTTTGCGTTGTCATTGCCCAGGCATTACCTTTCAACATGACAACGCCCGGCCTCATATTGCTCGATTCGTTCAGGATTCTCTTCAACAAAAACAAAGTGAATGTCATCTTCTGGCCGGCTCGCTCCCCTGATCTCTCACCAATCGAGCACATGTGGGATGAGATGGATCGGCACCTTCGACGTCAACCACGTGTTCCACAGACACTCCAGGAACTTAAAAACAGCGGATATGGACAGATATCCCACAGGACTTTGTGATACACCTGGTCCATTCCATGAGACGAAGATGTGTTGCTTGCATCGCAACCAGAGGTGGACACACGCTATTGATTTGTAAATTGACATTTTGGCATGTTCATGTTTTTTATGAAATCACTCATTTTCTGAAGTCAGTATGGCCAATTAAACCAAAACACTTACAGGAGTCTTTTATCTGTTGCAAACTGAAATTGTTACAGATTTGGTAAAAAACATAACTTTGCATTAAATCTTATTAATGTCACAGGAACTTTTGTTGTTCAGTATACATAAAATACCAGGGTATGGCCAGTAACGGAATGTTCAAGTCTACTACAAGCTACTTGTTCACCAAATTTCACTACTTTCATTAAGAAAGAGGAGTTGTTTTTGTTGTTGTTGTTTTAAGTGTTTAAGAGGCCTGCCTAAGCAATTTCTTTGGGACTCATGTGTGTTTAGGGTACACAAATCTATTGTGAGTTTGGTATTCACAGAATTTCTGTTCTTGTATTGATATGATTTTTATTTTCATATATTGATATAATTTATCTTTGGCTGCTCTGTTTATATATGTTTGAATAGCTGTCCATCTCTCAGAAATAGAGTGAGTTTGGTCTTCGCTATTGCATCTCTTGGCTTTAGGAGATCTAATTCTCGTTTTAACCGAGTCCGGGCTAGGGCAGAGTCTTGACATTCCAGTAACAAGTGAGCAATGGATTCAGCCTGATTGCAAGATGAACAAACCTTGTCATAGTGCCTTTTTGTAACCGAGTCTGAGGTGTGAGATGGCTATTTTGACTTTCCTGTCATTTGAGTATGAGTATGGCTTTTGGTGGATCTTGGGTTGAATTTTGTATAACCATCTGCGGATCTTACTTGCATCCCACTGGGCATGCCATCTTTGGGCAATGAACTAATTAAGGCTTTGATTATGATTTTGATCTCTAGTTTACTGAAGGGAATAGGCTGTATCTCCACTTTGTCTAGCTTTGCCAATGTGTCTTCTTTTTCATTTCCATAAATATCTATGTGAGAGGGGATTCAACACAGCTCCACCTGTTGCCCTTGGCACGATAGTTTTGTATATTCGTATAGAATATTATTGACTGTGTTTGGCTTGAAGTTTGAGTTTCTGCCGCTGATGGCTTGAAGTGCACTTAGCGAGTCTGATAGGACAGCTGCTTTTGCTTCCTGTAGTTCCGGTATGAGGTTGAGTGCATGATGAATTGCCTCCAATTCAGCCGTGAATACTGACTGACCATCCGGCAGGCAAACCGAAAGTGCTTGGGGTTTGGAGCTGCGGATATATGGATCCCGTAACCACCACTGTTGTTGATAGGATTCTTGGATCCATCAATGTATATATGGGCCCAGCTGTCCCAGGTATTTTGAATTTTAGTGATAGCTACTGATCGTAGTAGGGATGGGGTTTCTTGTTTGGTGACTTCTGATGTTAAAGCAGTGTCAACTGGGAGTTTTTGTAAGTCCAGGGGTGGTGTAACCCTTTGTAGTGACTTTCTGATGGTTGAATGTCATCACAATTGTGACTTTGGATGAGTTCTTATACCAGCTAATATCCCAGATGGCTTTAGTGAGGGATTTTTCTGAGCTAGGGCTTCATCTCGGGTGTTTTTGTCTTGCCATATCTTTTTAAACCAAAGGGTTTGATGTTCTTCCCCAGAACGATAATATTGCTTTGCTGAATTCCAGAAATACTAGGTATTGTCTGTTTAATTGAGCTTTTTTTATTTCATTTTCTAGTCTTAGAATATGCTCTAATCATGAATGACCCTTCCTGAAGCCGCTTTGGTCAGGTTTGATGTGGTTGCCTTTTTCAGGTGATGCCTGAGCTTTTTTGTAACCATGGCTTCCATAGCTTTGCACATGTTTGAGGGGAGTGAGATCGGTCGATAAGAGTCTGGTAGGGCTTTGTCTTTCCCTGGCTTTAGAAGCGGGATAACTTCAGCATGTTTCCATGCTTTTAGGATTTCGCCTTTGGACCTTATCGTGTTATACAACTCAGTGAGTAAGCTCTTTGTTTGATCAGGTAGGTTTTTCAATATCTCGTAGCTGGTTGTGTCAAGACCAGGTGCAGTACCTTTTCTTGTTGTATCGCATCATCAAATTCTGCCACAGTAAATGGTATATTGTACACCAGATGCTTGCTTTGCGGCTGTTTGGATATCTTAAGCATAAGCATTTTTCCCTGTTTGAATTCTTTGCTGCAAAGATCAGGATTATCCAAGTCAATTTCTGAGGATTTTAATGATATACATTCCTTCCTGAATTTGGGCCAATCAGCCTTTGCATAGTCCCATGTGGGCTGAGGATTGGGCTTTTCCTCTAATTGTGGTGGGCTACCTATGTGGGTGAGTGTAGGCAGGTGATCTCTTCCCCAAGTGTCATCATGGACTCGCAATTGGCAATGTGAGGCGAGGTTGTTGGTGGCAATTGTGAGGTCAATTGAACTCCACGTGTTGTGGACTTGGTCATAACGTGTGGGACTGCCGTTGTCCAGAGTTATGAGATTGTCGTCTTCAACATATTTCTCTACGATTTTGCCATATTTGCATGAATCATTCCTGTCTTCATATAAGGGGCTGTGGGCATTTAAGTAACCAAGGATTATCCCATTTTTTCCTACTATTTAAGCTAGTCTCGTTAGCTCTTCTGTGTTTATTTCATTGCTAACCCTGTGGTATATGTTAGCTTTGTGTAATTCATGCCATTTGCCAGTTTTAGGGAGATTACTTTGGTTTCAAGGTTTCCTACGTTTGATTCAATATTTTGTTAGGTTCAGCTGTCGTGGACAAGGGTGATTAGTCCT